TGTCTTTGGGCTTGGGCCTGACAACTACCTTTATGCCATATGGTAAGGTTACAGTAACAGAATTTTGTAAATCTGAACATATCTTTCCCTTTCCTTACTTTTACTCTTATAAAAATTAAGGAGGGTCGTTTCTGAGATGCTTTATTCACCTCCATCCCTTGGACTCAGATTTCATTAATCAGACCATCTAGGCTCCAGTTCTTCCTCCTGTCTCACACGGTCACTTCCAGAAAGCATTACAGGGATACTAGGGATATTCAGCTCCACCTTCGTCTATCCAGTTTTCTGTCCTATTATTCATCACCTTAAGACAGTCAATGGCTGACCTTACCCATCTCACTCAACTAGATCAGTGTGAAATCTAATTGCTGCATTTTATCAACATACAATGATTTGGAGGGGGGGGTTTCTTAGTACCTTGTGTGAATTGTCTGCCCGTTTGGTTCATTTGTTTGTATTGCCCATATCCAGAAAAGTGAGTAATCTTGGTAAATGAATTGTATTTATTTATAACATATTGTTTCAATTTCTATAGCTACACATTTTAAATGTATAACTCTGGTTGGCTCACAGCAATTAAAAACTATTTAAAAAGCCAAAAATGATCCAAAACAAAGCTGTAATTTTTTTAAAAATGCCACACAAAAACCATAGGGCACAGGTAATATCCATCAACATTGCCATTGTTCTATCATATGCCCAGGTCCTCGTGCTGATGGCAAAACCACATCTATAAGGCCTTTCAGACTGTCAGTTATGGAATTGCCTACAACAAAACACAATATCTTTATTATGAGAGTGATGTTACCGCAACTGGTTTTGTATCCACTATGAAGATGTAATCCTCACTTCCTAGTTTTAGGAACTTTGATATTTTTTTTAAAAGAATTGCCATGCTTGAAACCCTAGGTTCCTCATGTAATTTTTTTCTCCTTCTTATTTATTTAATATAATTTTTTTGGTTTTGTATGTGATTATTTCAAATGAATTATTTCAATGAATCAATAATAGAATAAAACTTATTAAAATACAGTGAAAATTATGAATAAAGAAGAATTGGTGTCACAATATATGCGTTAAAATGTTGAAAAAGGAGGGGAAAAAACATGATGACCTATCAAATTCATATTGGGCTATTTGGGCTGTTTAAGTTACACAGTCTCAGCACCTGAAGAACGGTGTTTGTCAAAATGGTAATCACAACCACATAACTGAAGCTTTGCCCATTTTTACGTACATCATAGTGCACATAAGAAAGGGGCAGGGCTTCAATTGGGCAATCACCGCTGCCATCTTGACTTTTTTGCCCTCCACCTTCAAAGACTCCACCGGGGTCATGGTAAGAATGAGACCACTTTACCAAGAAGTGTTGGAGAATCCCTTCCGCACTATTTGCTCATGCCAGAGGATTTCAAGGGAATGAACTATGAATAAACTACCTGATGAATGAGCTGCTCCAGAAGTAAATAACTGCACAAACCACCCCGGAGCGGAGCTAAACTTGAAGAAGTATTATTCCTAAGGAAGTATTGAGTTGCACAGACAAGGGTCAGGTTATCGAATGCAATGAAGTCATCGCCTTGCAATGAAGTCACTGCCTTGTCACCAACTAGATGACTTTCTCCTTTAAAACAAAAAGAGAGAAAGTGTACTGGAAATCAGGGTGCCAGCAAGTCAGGAAGTGTATAGCCCACCCACTCACAGGCTAAATCAGCAAGAAATCCAGCATTCTGCTCCCTGACCCAGATAATGCTGGGGGGGGGGAGAGAGAGAGATGGGTGGGACACTGTTTCATATTTCTATCCTAACAAAAAACAGAACACAGGAGAGGACTGGAGAAAAGTGGGAGAGGGGACTGCTACACACAATGAAAACCTGTCAGTCGTATTAAGGGCAACAGAGAGAAGGGAAATTAATTTGAATACACTCAGCCACTAGGGGCTACTGTTGCTCTATCAGTTTTTATATTAGCAATTGCTTTATAAAGAAAGGGAAACGGCTCTGAGTGTCCTTTTGGGTACCCCTCTTTCTAGGTTTTCAGTTGAAAACTTTTACTACTTCTGATGCAATCACTGTTTTATTTTTTCTGCCATTTCTTTACCACCAACCCTTGTGTGGTAAAGAGAAATCTGGACAACATTTTGGAAAAGTCAGAATCTGCAGTATTCACACTGCAGACCAAGAATACAGTATTGTGTTTCCAAGAAAGAATCAATTCAGTGAAATATTCACTTGAGAAGAAACAGCATGCTCTTTGAGCCAGTTCTATAAACACAAGTAAAATAAAACATAGATTTTGTTTTTAAAAAATAGAATTTGTTTGAGAGTGCAAACAAAGAGTAGTCTTCCTAAGTGACATTTATTTATGTATTCAGTTCATTGTAACTCTAGGGTGGTGTGCAACAACAAAAAGCAAACAATAAATCCAAAAAGAGTAACATGACATAACAACATACAGAATATATAAATATGAATCTGAAAGCAAAGCCAATTTTGTCTGCTCTCTGATTGCCTTGCTGCACACTTCTCCCAGTTTGGTAAACTATAACTGATATAAGTGTGTATACTAATATTATATATCTATAGATACCTATAGATATATCCAAAAGAGTGCTGCCTATTACTACATTTGTCCAAAGATTGTTCTCAATTTCTGAGCAGTAAACAACTCTACCATCTCATTTTTTATTTTCTGCCCTGACAAGACTTGTGGTTAAAGGTTAAGATGATAATCATATATGGTAGATATATTTCTAATGATTTACTGTTTTATCATTTTACTGTTTTATGATTTAAATCATTGTGTAAATTGTCCACAGAAATGCAATTACTGTTGAGTGGATTAAATATTTCTTAGCAATAGCAATGACAGTTGTGTTCATCCTCTACTTAAGTTATCTTACAGAGGAGTGGACCAACTTTCAGAACTGAGAAAGATGCAATCAGACTCTCATAATTATACTTACATAGCCCTGTTGTCATTTCCTTAATCCCTTTTTGATGCTTTTTTGACTCACATATGAATTTTTATGGGATTGCATGACTCCATTTCTTTATGGAGCTGCTGAGTGTGGACTTGAAGCATCTTTCTCACTTCAGACCCCAGCAGCTACATATCCCTATATAACATTCTACCTAACTTTCAATAATTCTATCCAATAGCAATAGCTCTTAGACCAGCGGTTCTCAACGTTTGTGTGACGGCGACCCCCGTCACACAAACGTTATGCGCATGCGCGGCGCAGCGCGCATGGGGGCGGGGCCCGCGCGCGGCGCGCATGCGCAGCACCGCTCCACGCGCAGCACGCATGCGCAGCGCCGCTCCACGCACAGCACGCATGCGCGGCGCCAACCCCCGGAGGTGCGGCGCCGCCCCCATGCGCGGCGCCGCCCCCCGGAGGCGTGCCGCCCCCCCCATGCGCAGCGCGCGTGCGCGGCACCGCCCCCCTGGAGGCGCGGCGCGCCCCGGGAGGGGACAAAATGGCGGATCGCCACCTTTGGCGACCCCCAAAAAGAGGTTGATCGACCCCAAATGGGGTCGCGACCCATAGGTTGAGAACCACTGTCTTAGACTTATACCCGACTTCACAGTGCTTTACAGCCCTCTCTAAGCAGCTTTATATTTTTAAATTTTAGCTCTATTTTTGTAAATAAATAAATTGCTTAGTTTATCTCTATGTCTATTGTTAATTTACCAACAAAGGTATTAGGAGAGAATTCTGGGCCCAAGGAAAATGTTTGTGATCAACCCCCTCCCTCAACTGAACAAGAATTATCAATTAAAGACAAGGAGCAACATTTAAGAGAGAGACTTGTTCTGGTGTATAAACCAACCAACTCTTAGGAAGGACTGGCTTTCTTTCCTTATTGTGGGTAAATATAAGACAAATCAATCTTGTAAAATACTTCCTCTAAGCTAAACAACTCCAACCATTGTCTCTTAAGGTTTTCAAGCCTTCCTATATTTTGGGCTGCTTTTTCTGCACCTTCTCCAGCTCCACAATATCCCTCTTGAGATGTGACATTCAGAATTGTGCATTGTATTCTAGAAATGGCCAAGCAGTTTATTGTGAGACATTAAAATATCATGTAGGTGATTTTGCTAAACTAATTAGGTACCACAACTCGGAATCTTTTTCTTGGTTAACCACACCAGTTAAGTCCTTATCATTTATAAGAAAAACCTGAATTCCTAGCTAACACTAAATAGTGATCCAATCACCAAGATTAGAGAAACAATTTTGGATCATAGTCCTTATGTATCTATCGTCACCTTCTTGCATAATTTGTGTCCTTTCCACCATTCTAGGAGCCAGATACTTATTCAGCTGAATAAGTTGAATAACACTGAGTCCAAAGCAGATAATCAAAGCAGACTTTGTTTCTTATCTCCCTCCACTGTGAAAATTGTGCATTTATTCTTATTGTTTTCAGTTGTTCACCAAACTTTAACCCATCAGAGGACTCCCTTTGGATTCTCATCACTGCTTAGTTCATCCAGAAGTGTTCAGTGAGGATTTTCTTCTTTATTAACTTGTCGGATTTAAAAAAAAAAACAAAAAACAAAACAGGAAACTTGAGCATTGCTTTGAAAAATGGTTGGATTTGGGAACAGGAACAAAATATATTTCCTCGGATACAATATCGCACAGAATTCAATTTACAAACCCTTCTGGCAACTTATTCCATAGGCTTTCATGAATCACAGCCTGTTTCAGCAAAAGCAGGGATAAAGTCACGAGAAAAGGAAAAGGAAATAAAGAAAATGTTGTCTTAGGAGTGTATTCCTAGCAAATAGTGCAGTGTGATTCTGTGATTTGGGGAAGCGTGGTCAGAATATACTCTGTTACCATTAAACCAAAAGTCATTACGATCTGCCACAGAAGCAAATAATTTAATTACAGACGAAGATAAAGAAACTCTCTCCCGCCCTCCCCGCCCCGAGACTTGCAAAAAGAGACTGTCAGTGCAACCTCTCCTTCTCCCGCCCATAGCAACCGCGCTTAGCAACACGCGCGTGGCTGGATTGGGCGGAGCTGTCTGGATCTCCGGTCCTTTCGAGCGTCGGGTCGGTTTGCTATGCAAGGCCGAGGCTCTATGGCCTAATCCGAAAGGGATGCTAAAAGTAAAAGTCCTTTTCGTAGGTCCTAGTGAGGTGAGTGTGCTTCCCAGACCTTCTCAAAGAAAGGAAATGTCTCACGGTCTTGTCTCTTGACTCCTCGTCCTTTTCTAAAATTGGACGGGAAAGGCTGCGAGACAAACCGGAGTTACTAACCTAACTCATTCGAAGATCGCCAGGTGGGGAAGGATGGAGTTCTATTGCCTTCACTTGCCTCGGGGGACTCCCAAAGGCGTCGGGTTGCCTAAGGGTGAGAAACAGGATGCTGAAAAACCGGATGCGAGTTTGATATAATCGACCAATGCATTTTCTATTCCAATCGACAGTGGCCATTAACAGTACTGTACAACCTTCATGTTAAGAAACAGTATAACTTTGTGAGCAAGGGATTTTTTCCTTAATATTCTGCTGAGTCTCTCTTCTCTGCTTTCGTCGATAATCTGATCCAGCAGGTTTCTACTTATTACAGGTGGTCCTCAATTTACAACCATTCATTTACTGACCGTAAATGAATGGCACTAAAAATGCTGTTTTTCACACTTCTGATCTTTGCAATGTCCCCATGGTCATGAGCTCAGAATTCAGATGCTTGGCAACTGGCTCATATTTATGACGGTTGCAGTGTCCTGGGGTCATCTGATCACCTTTTGCATCCTTCTGACAAGCAAAATCAGAAGGATATTTACTTATTTACATATTTACTTAACAGTCATATTATTAACTTAACAACTGCAGTGATTCATTTAACAACTGTGGCAAGAAAAGTAAAAATGGGGCAAAATTTAACAATGTCTCACTTAGCAACAGAAATTATGGGCTCAATTGTAGTCGTACATCGAGAACTACCTACTAAAGAAAGTTTATTCTCAAGATCTCTAATCATCGCCAATTTTGGGTTGAATCAGATGGGAGTTGGAATCCAAAAAAAATCCTTTCTCACCTTGGATGGGAAAAACAATGTCAGAATATCCCTTGAAACTAATCATTCATGCATCACATTTCTAAACTATTTAAAAATATATCGACCGCATTGGGGAGGAATTCCAAGTGGGACCTTCTTTAAGCTGCAACCAGTATTAAAAATATCTCTGTTCCGTGAAAAGGTATGAAAAGGTATTGTCAGGTGCATCACAATACTTTGTTCTAATTTTACTCCTGCTAATGCTTCTGTAATTGTGTTTCTGTATTTGTTTGTGATAGGCTGGAAAATCTGTCTTGGCAAACTTCTTGTCAGAGACCATTGAAGGTATTGGCAGTTACATCCCCACCCAAGGAGTAAGGTGAGGAAGAATGGGCTAATTTGCTGTGCTTCTCACTACACAAGCTTTAAAATGTCTGGATCCATTCATTAAACTCATTGTTATTCATTTCTCCCTGTCTGAAAACATCTTAGATCATACTGATTTATAGGCAGTCCTTGACTTATAACACAATTAGGACCAGAATTTCCATTGCTAAACAAGGCAGTTATTAAGTAACTTCTTTTTCAGTGTCACTATACCTTTGAACAGGGCCTAAATGAATAGTTGTAAGTTGATGACTACCTGTTCTAAGTAACTTCAATAATGAAATTTTGACATTTAATACATATCCAGTCTAATACATGTGGGTCACTGCAGAAATGAATGTGATTATCTTGCTTGTACATAAATCTTCCCAAAGTTACTATCCTAAAGAAAGGTTTGCCAAATGTGTGGCTCACATGAGATTGTTGCATTTTTCTGCTGAGAACATAAGGAGTTTGCATTCTCTGGCACCCTGTTTGATTTGTTAATCTCAGGATGCAGGGAATAGTCTAGTCTTCCATTGCCCCTTTCATGCAAATTCCATACTAGTACATTTGTCTGCATGCAGCTCTTAACTGACAGGCTAATGCATAAATCCAAGACTATGAATCCCTCTTTCTGTTGAAACAAGAGTTAATAGTGGCTGATGTTAGCCAATGGGCAGAGAAGATTGAATGCCTGAGAGAGTTCTAGCTAGGCTTCAATTGGAAGGAAGAGAAATTAACCATGGCAAGTAATACAATACAGTACAGTTCATCTGAAAAATATTCTGGCAGTATACAAATCAGGGTTCCTTTTTCTCTAGCATGCCTGCTTTATTTACTCAAATGTGGTTCCTGTTTTTAAATTTTAGGATTTTAGAATATGAGAAGCCACATTTCAATGGAAACAGCAAAGGACCAGGATGTCGGTTTGAACTGTGGGATTGTGGAGGTGATCAAAAGTGAGCAAGTTTCTTATACGCCTTGCCAGCTCTCTTGGTATAGGTCCATTCATAACCTGTGCCAGATCATTAAACTAAGGAACCAGCTGAATTGATGGAAGATTTGCATTAAACTAGCAAAATAGAGTTAGAAATTATGATTTGAAACAGAGACTGTATCGGTATGATACATAGATTAATAAACCAGTTTTTTTAAATCACAGAAAACCTCCACAAATAAAGAGGCACCTTGTTGCAGACAAGTAGTTTCTAAAACTGGAGGGTATTAGCATGATGAACAAGCTTGTAGATTATGTTCTGAAAGGAGATATGCTCAAGGCACATAATTTTTTTAAATTATTTATTATTGCAATTATATCCCTCACTGCTTATTTTTGGAGAATTTAAAATGTCACAATGAGAATTTGTCTCCCATTATTCAAGCCACAACCACCCTATGAATTATGTTGGCCTGTAGGAAGACTGAGATATGAACACATATATCACTAAAGTTTAATTAAATTATAATTTGGTTTGTTGGTTTTATATATCTCAACCTCATCAACTTTAAGATATGTAAACTTCAATTCGCAGAATTCCCCTGGCAACAATTCTGGAAGTTGAAGTTCACTCATAGTTGCTGAAGTTGAGAAATGCTGTGGTATATGAAGACAACTGCTGTTATTAGCAAACAGTGCTTGACATTTTATAGTAATCTTTATACTTCGATAATGAGATGGGCGGCATATAAACACCTTAAAAACTGGCTTGAAGCAGTGTGAAACCAGTCATTATTTGCAGCTGTTTGCATAATTTCCAGCAAACAATATTCTGTTTCCAGCAACATTCTTTTTCTTTTGCACTTCTAGATTTGAGACTTGCTGGCCTGCTCTGATGAAAGATTCCCATGGTGTCGTCATTATATTTAATCCAGACTTGCCAAGCCACGTGAAGGAAATTGAAATGTGGTACTCCTGTTTTGTCCAACAGCAGCAGTTGCTTGAGAATCAGTGCTTGCTCATAGCACATCATAAGCCAGGCACTGCAGGAGATGTAGAGAATCTCACTTTGCGTAAGACCCATAACCTTTATTTCCCTATTTTTGTGTTATCTTTGTCAAATTATAGACCTGATTCACTGTTTTCTCTCTTCAACTTCGAAGCTTCACCATTGAACAGATTGACATTGATACACTCCAGCCTTGAAGAAGACCCTGAAGATGTCAGAATGGAATTTGTGAAGTTCCTGAAGAATATTACTACTTTGGTAAATGAGAACCGGGATAGAGAGGAGATGCTGATTATTAATTAGTAATATGATAAATGTTGGAGAAATAAATGGCTATTATTTATTAATAACTTAAGTTTTCATTAGGCATTTTTTAATGATTACAAACTCATTAATTTTTCTTCCAAATGTAGAATAATTGTATTGACTTGGAATGTATAATAAGAGGATCAGCATTCACTGTGCTGTACACAATGAGAAATGCATAGCTTTGGATCCCACATGCTTCCTGAACTTGTTTGATTTCTTAGGCCTCTAAGAACAGCAAAGTCCTTTCCTCGGGCAATACTGAATTAAGATCTGGTTCACAGTCAAGCTAAGCCTACATTTGGCTTAGTGCATTATGTGAAATCTAGCGTTTATGGTTTAAAACTCTTGGTTTATGATAATATGTTGTACAAACTGAGCTAATTTTGGTTTATACACACCATAGTTAAGTTTTTTTAAATAGCAACAACAATCACAATAATAATAATAAAGTTGGAAGGGACCTTGTAAGTCATCTAGTCTGACCCCCTGCTGAGGAAGGAAACCCTATACCATTTTAGACAAATGGCTGTCCAGTCTCTTCTTTAAAAACTTCCAGTGTTGGAGCATTCACCTCTTCTGGAGGCAGGTTGTTCCACTGGTTAATTGTTCTAACTGTCAGAAAATTTCTCCTTAGTTCTAGGTTGCTTCTCTCTTTGGTTAGTTTCCACTCGTTGCTTCTTGGCCTGCCTTCAGGTGCTTTGGAGAATAACTTGACTCCCTCTTCTTTGTGGCAGCCCCTGAGATATTGGAACACTGCTATCATGTCCCCCCTCGTCCTTCTCTTTATTAAACTAGACATACCCAATTCCAGCAACCGTTCCTTATATGTTTTAGCCTCCAGTCTCCTAATCATCTTTGTTGCTCTTCTCTGTACTCTTTCTAGAGTCTCAGCATCTTTTTTACATCATGGTGACCAAAACTGGATGCAGTATTCCAAGTGTGGCCGTACCAAGGCATTGTAAAGTGGTATTAACACTTCACGTGATCTTGATTCCATCCCTCTGTTAATGCAGCCCAACACTGTGTTGGCTTTTTTGGCAGCTGCAACACCCTGCTTGCTCATATTTAAGTGATTGTCCACTAGGACTCCGAGGTCCCTCTCACAGTTACTACTATTGAGCAAGGTACCCCCTATACTATACCTGTGCATTTCGTTTTTCTTGCCTAAATGTAGAACCTAACTTTTTTCACCATTGAATTTCATTTTGTTAGCGCCCAGTGTTCAAGTCTGTCCAGATCCTCCTGTATCCTAAGCCTGTCTTCTGGAGTGTTGGCTATTCCTGCCAGCTTGGTGTCATCTGCAAATTTGATGAGTTCCCCATCTATCCCCTCGTCCAGATCGTTGATGAAGATGTTGAAGAGCACTGGGCCCAGAACAGAGCCTTGGGGCACCCCACTACACACTTCCCGTTTAGCTTACATAAATATGGTCTAAGACAAATCTTATGATTTATTTCATTTTACTAGGTCTGGCAATCTTTAGTGCCTATTGTTTGCTTCCCCTTTCTCTTCTCTATACACTTACAGGTAGTCCTCAATTTACAACCATAGTTGGGACCAGAATCTCAGTCATTCAGCGAAGTGGTAGATAAGCTCAATGACTTGCAATTTTGGCACTCTTGCTTGCAGTCATTAAGCAATCTCACTGGTAGTTAAGAAGACAAAGCGAAAGAGCTGAAATACTCCCAGTAGGGTCTACGATAACCCACCACAGCCAGCTTGCCAAGGCCAACTCCCTGCATCAAGCTTGCTGCAGCCAACTCTCTGTAAGACAACTCATCATGGCCAACTCACCACGAGACAACTCACTGTGGGACAAGAGTAACATTAATGTTGAAAAATAGTCTAATGGAATCATTAAAGAAGGGACGCCAAAGAAGGGACAAAATAAAATGTGGATGACAATTTAAATAATTTTGAAATAATTTTAAATAATTGAATTGTTCTGCAACAAGTTGTCCTGTGGCGAGTTGACTGTAGCAAGTTTTAGACACAGTCTCCGTAGAGGCAGATGTCTCTGTTGACACTATTAAAATTAAGTTTTGTGTCCATTGTTTAAAAATATCCTTCAGTATGTCCAATGTTATAATCTATGGTTTCATTCTGTAATTGTAAAATTAGTTTGTGTCCTTCTTTAATTGTTATCTTCTTTACATGACATCTGTTGGCATTCATTGCTCCACTAAAGCATGCTGCATTTCTGAAAAGGATCAATCTCCGATCTAATCATTCAGTTGTGTGCTGTAACCACTTATTTAAAATTGACAAAGTCAACTCTAGTTTGGTATCATCTTCCTGCTTTTCTTCATCTATGCTTGATAAAGCAGCTGGCTCTTTAACTGTAAGAATGAGATCAGAGAGCTGATTAACATTGTTTCCTTACTTATATTTGAATCCCTTGCCTACCTGTAGTTGAGCAGAAGCTTCAATGTGTTTAACATTATCAGTAATAGCAGGAAAATTTGTGAAATCATTAACTATCGGAGACCAAAGTTTCCTCCCAGGAACATTAAGTGTGCTTTGGTTTATTTCATCCAAGGATTCCTTAATGATAAATAGTGCATGAACAATCTTATATCATTTTCATGTGTCTGAAATAAGGTCTTAGCTACTTGAAATTAATGGGTGACAATGGTCCTGGTTTAGATTTCACCTGAGTGGCCATTCTCTGTATGCTGTATATTCTATACTTTCTGGAAGGGCTTTTCAGTTTATAGAGTAGTCCTGGCAAAAGAAACATCTAGAGTAGTACTAGAGAAAGACAAAGAGTCTGACATGGGTAAAAGTCCATCATGATTACATCATGCTGATGTAATGAAAATGTTCTGCAGACATGTGTAGTTTTACCTGGACCTTGTTAGAGAGAAAACTGCTATGAGGATTCTAACAGAGAGATAAAAACACTTGGATCTTCTCTGAGTTATAGTATGACCATGCAAAAATAAGGGCTATTAATCAAATGAGATCTACTAACTAATCATGCAAAGGCTCATGCAGTAAAGTTCATTTTCTCTATAAAATAGTCACTTTCATTTTTTTCTACATTTTTATAGATAATAAATGAAACTTTTATACAAATTAGAGTCAAGTAAAGGTAGTTGGAGGGGTCATCTTATTATAATACTTTAAAAGACCAAACAAAATGTATACCTGTGTCACAGATTGTCATTTTTCTCTCTAAAGTGTGAGAAGGAATCAAGAACTATGCTAGCTGTAATGAGAAGTAACTTATACAGTACATTGTCTATAAAAGATGACTCCCAGGAAGCAGGGTTGGAACACATTCTCAATCTTGTTTCTTCTTTGGGGAAACTCAGATGCAGCATTCATTCAATTTGGCAATATCTATTTGATTTTCTGAAAGGCACATGGAACATATATTTTTTCTCCTCTTTAAAAGAGAAAGATCTTAAGAATAGTGTTTATACAAATACAGCAAGTTTTGTTTTGGCAACAAGACGCCAAATATTCCAAAACCATTGTGCTGTTTAAAATTACACAAAATGCAACATCACTTTTGCACCCATTCCAGCTGTACAATACCCCCTTTACTAAGTGGTGACTTCTCCTCTTCCTCCTCCTTAGAAATGAATGTTTAACAAGAGGTTTGATACATTAAAAATGACTAATCAAACATTATTATTTAAGTATGAAAAATAATGTAAGCACAAGACAGTGCAGTTGGGTTTATAGATCAAGCTAAATTATCAAGTGCTTTGTTAAGTTTGGCTTATGCTAATTTGATTTTTCAAATATCTTTTGTAGTCATTAGTTAGTATGAACAAAGTCAATGGTACTTTATTGAACAAATAAACTAAGAACAAGTCCTAGGTAGCATGATATTTGAATTCAACCTATGGTGTATTCACACAATATATTAAGCCAATTCAACAGGCGATTTATTGCTTTACTTACTTTTTAATTTGCAGAAACTGAAATTAAAACTTGCAACAAGTCATTTTGTGAGACTCCAGGATACGCTCTAGATAGGCCTGTGTGAGCCCAGTTGAGATTCTTCACCAGTTCAGTTTTTGTTCCGCAGTTAGGCTAAATATTTTTTTTAATAAGCTGCCTGGAAAAAAAGAACTCATTGTTAAGTATGGGAATGTGGGTTCTCTGTTTCTACTGTTTATACAACATATAATAATGTTTCGACTCCATGTGTCCTTACTGCAAAGGGGCAAATTTCAAAAACTGCTCTTGCCATACTGCAATCAGTAGGTTCTTTTCACGGTTCTCTTATGCCTGTACAGTATTGGGGAGAGAAGGAATTTTCCATTCATTGCCATTTCAGAAATAACCACTAGCTGGAAAAAGATAAATCCAGAGAAGTAAATCACTGAGATAAGAACAGATTCCTTTTTTAGTCTATGTACTATTAAACATAGCTTTTTTTTTTTTTGAGTTTTGATTAATTTCTCATGGTGTACTAGCAGATTTTGCTAACATGGGAATTTCACCATAAATGCTTTTCCAACCTAAACTAAAATTTGAGTGTTAGTATTTTTCAATAATTAGTTTCTATCAATATTTTTTGCAGGAAGAAACAAAATTTTCAGGTTCATGAAATATCAAAGTCTTCAGTGAACACTTCTTACAGAGGAATGAAAGAATGCTTTCAGGCTCTTAATACAGACAGATTTCAAATGAGATCATGAGTTTTGAATCTATTTCAATTTATAGTCAATGCAAGGAACATTAACTACTAGTACATTTGTTTTCAGCATTTGGGGAGGTGTCTCATCTGCTTTCCATCTATTCAGAACATGCATCCACATGGAACCTTTTAGACAAGAGGAGGGAAATTACATCTCTAAATGTTTTTTGCAAAGATTTTCAATCACATAAAATATCTGGGAGGCAGGATAGGTTAAGATAATTTATGATTGCAAGCAAACTATTGTTTGAGGATAAAAACCAAATTTATGGAGCTGTTGCTGGAATGATCCTTGGCAGTTTAAAAGGTATACACCAGCCTCTCATGAGAATCCTGCGGCTTACCTAAGTTTCCACCACAAAATAGTATTAATAAGAAAGATGCTAATAAATATGTCTTTGCTTAGCAATGTACATGCATCATTTTTATTTCTGATTTCATTAGAGTAGAGGATAAAAAAGAGCTGACATTGTTTTGGGGCATTTGTGGGATACAGTTCCAAAGCTGTAAATTGACAGACTTGTTTTATTCAAACCTTTGTTGAAAAACTGCACTGTACAATCCTTGAGGAATCTGGAATTACCAGCACAACAACAATAAAACTATGCCCAAGTTCACATTTTAGAAAACAGGCTTGCCAGGTTAACATTCAGATATGGGAGACCCTAAAGATCTGATATAATTCCTTTGATTGAATTGGAAATGAAAAAAAATATCAACGGAATTTAATTGTGTTCCTTGTAGAAATGCAGATGAAATTCTCATAATTTGTAGAAGGGATCTGTGTTTATATGATAACACTGATTTACAAGCTAGCCAACTACATTTTATCTTGCACACTGAGAGAACCTAGCTTATGTCTTTACAAGCTAATAGCTCAGTGTGTTATGTAAACCCTAAAAAATAATTTCTTAAACTAAGTTTAACACAACTGAGGTCAGAAAATTCATAGGTATTAGCTCTAGATTTCAAGCATGGTGGATACAAAGAGGAAAAAGAACATGTTTCTTGGCTCCAGTACTGCAGAAGTACTGGATTGTGATAAAAATATAACACTAATCTTCAAATGGAATGAATGAAAAGAATGTGGAGGTTGATTGGAACCAACCAGAAAAATACTGGCTGACATTATCAAAAACTGCTAAGGAGCACAAGATGTAATGCTTCCTCCTTTCACATCTTACTAAGATAAGTAATCTATGTAACTATTACTCATAGTCAGGCCTGAATTCAAACTGGTAGAGCCCTACTACTTTCTCCCAAGCCTCTTCAAGAAAAGGTGGGTGTATATAAGATGAAAGTTGTTCTTTCCATGGGATCCAGGACAGCCTTGAATGGCTGGAATGTCCTCTTCCTTCAAAGAAGCACTGACTACAACCTGGATCCAACTTTTAATCTCTTCCCAGGGAGGCCAGGGACCCAATGCACAAATGGCAGAGCAACACTAGAGAACTTGGTCCTCTTCCTTGAGATCTACAACTAAAAAATCATCAATATCTCAACTCATCTAGTTTCCAGCTTGGACCAGATAAGAACTATTTTACCAAGACTGTAATAGCTTGTTTCTTCTTCTGGCCAATCCTTATATAAAAATCTGGGGCACCTTAAATAATGCAGTTGGTCAACATTTTGCCAATGGAGTAAAAGTATGGAAGGTAATTCTGCTTCACCACCTTTATGGCTTACATAATAAGCTCAAACTTTAGCTCATACCAATGTCCAGGTATACTCATGCTTTAAGCTGTTCTCCAAACACATTCCTCTATATCCTACTTTACAGAAATAGTCTTTCACTTGAGATCTCAGGGGTGTAGACAGCCCTCAAAAAATCCTGGATAATGTCCATAAAACCACTTCAGGCGTTGCCATCTAAATCACAAATTTTAATATGTTAGGAGGAGAAAATAAGTAAATACATATGGAGCAGATATATTAATAGTATTGCATTAAAATAAAAATTACACTAAATCATTTTTTCCTCTTGGCACTCCAGTGCATGCAATAACAAGGACCTATCTGCTGTCTTAGAAATCACTTGGGATTACTCCTCAGAACGATAAATTTTCCATACCAAATTTGTAGAATAACGTACTGTTACAAATAATGCAATGGATCTATGATTATGCATGCAAGCCAACTTCTCATAATCTTTTTGCTTCTAAAATAACAATAACATTTCTATGTTGATAATATAGTTCTAATTACTGTGACATCTGCAAGCAGAGAAAACAGATAAGGTATCTATATTTTTCAGTTTATAATTAGACCTCTATTGCATTTAAGAACATGATGTTCAGCCTTACTGAATCCCAACATCCTTTCTTAAATTTTTCTCTCCATCTCATCCTTGTGACAGGAGGTATGTTTAACCATCAAGACAAAATAAAGAATTTACTAGCTAGGATGCCAACATTTCAGGGTTGCCTTTCTCAACTATACAACTGCAAACTCATATCTATCTTTATCTAAGCATTTGTGCAAGGTGGTGTTGAAAGAAAAATCTTCATCTGGATCCAATCCAAGCCTGGAATACACAAAATGGAGACTGCTTTAGAAAAGAAGATTCTTGTTTATTGAGTTGCAGAACCAGACAGAAATATAGCTCTGGGACAGCTGATCACAAGGAGCTGGGAGTGGTGGTTTTTGTTTTTTTTTACCTTCTTGGGCTTTTGTGTTTGGAATTGTTTCTGTTCATGTGGCATGAACTTTGACCTGAGGTTCAGTGTGCCTTTCTGGTATTCTAATGGTGATAGGCTAAGCCTATTATGTCTTAAAGGTCATGTCCTGCTTCCCTGGGGCTGTGACTGATGGCTATGTCCTGTGTTGGATTTTTTGGGTGAAGGGTTGTTGTTTCTACGGATCTTCGTCTTTCTAATCCCATCAGCTCCAAGCTTCCTGGCTCCAGGCTTTCTGAAAGGATGATCAAATCTGCATTTCTACAGAACTGGTTTCTCTTGGGGCAGAGAGACTTGGTGGGTGGTTTCTGCCTAAGATTTTCTATTGTTCCTTTGGGGAAATATAATATTCTGCCTTTTTAATATTCCTCAAAATATTTCTTTCTCCGGGGGGGGGGGGTCTTCCTACAGTGGTTTGGTATGACATATGTGTTCAGATTTGCTGCTGCTAAACTCTGATATATACTTATCTGTGGTAACTTCATTGAACTCAATTAAGGATGCTGCCTGGACTGTTTTACAGACCCAGGGGCCTCAACTGCATCTCTAAAATTTGGGGGCCAATCATTAAGGTGAGCCTGATTTTCCATGGTTTCAGAAGAACAAGACAAATATAAGGGGTAAATTAGACCAGCAGTCCTCAGTTTTTCATATTTTAAATCCAACCAATTTCTCACTCACCATAATAGGAAAATACCCATGAAGGACAGGAATATGTTTACAGGTAATCTATTACTGTACTTATTATTTTTGAAGAGTGTTAAATCATAAAAACACAGAATTGTAGAGTAGAAATGAATCGCAAGGATCATCTAGCCCAGATTCTGCAGTGTGCAGGAATGTCAATCAAACTGTCCTCAGGGATGATATCCAGGCTCTTGTTCCAGAATTTCAGAGGCAGAGTACCCACAATTTTTGTATCTAGGTAGACTGTTCCACTGTTGTACAGAATTTATTTTAATTAACTTTTTGACAATTTATCTAGGTCCCACATTATTTATTCATTTCCTATGTTCCAACTCGAACTGAGATTTCTGACTGCCATCTGTGATAAACTTATCTCTGGTTGAGAACAATCACATTCACTTTATTTTTCTTAGTTAACCCCAAGGACCCCAAAATTATTATTATTATTAATAATAATAATAATAATAATATATAAACTTCTATTCCAAAACACATCATCCCAACGAGACACTGAATCTTCATCCCCGCTTTTTAATTCAGTTTTCCCCAACTTGGCAGCCACTTCCATCACCCTGACAGCAGAGAGCTGCAGCAGCTTCCATTCCCCACTAGGCTCTGTTCCCAAAGCACGGTACCCCGCCTCCCCGCAACAGCCTTCGGCGCCACCGGGCGCATGCGTAGGCGCTCGCGGTCCCTCCTTCCCGCCGCCGCCGCCGATTCCCCGCCCCCTCCGCCTGTCAAGATGCGTTCGGCTTCGTCTCCTGACGTAGCGGACCCGGCCTCGGCGTGACGAGGACGAGCTGGCTTGGTCATGGCCCAGCCCGGGGAGACCCCGGCTTCGGAGTCGACAGAGGGTGAGAAAGGGAAGGCCGGGTGGGGGCGCCGGCGCCGGCGCGGCCTGCTAATCCTGCCTCGACCTGGAAGCAAAGGGGGGCGTGGGAAGCGGACAGGAATGCAGGCCGCAGAGAGAGCGAGGGAAGGAAGGAGAGGTGGTGGGCTTGGAAGGAGAGGAGCCCCACTTTATCCGCCCCTCACTTCCCACGGGCGCTTCTTACCTTCCCCGTGCCCACCCTGAGTTAATCCCTCCGTTTTCTACTACCTTAATTGTCGCTCTCCTCGCCCGCATCCTGGAAACCCTCCTTCGCCTTTTCTCTCCCTCTCTGGCTCAGCTGCCTTCCTACCAGCCCCTCGGCCTCCTGCTCCCCCCCCCCCGGGGTCTCTTCTTCTCCTTGGCCCAATGTCCCCACCTCCTTAGCCACCATCGCTTTTCACAATGACTTCTGGCTTCAGCCACCCATCACTGCGGTCTCTCGTCTCTGTCCCATCATAGCCCACCTCACCTTCTCAAGTGACTCCTGTATTTCTTTCCCTCCAGTCTCCCAATCACAAGGATCCTTCTCCTCTCTTCCACACACGACTTTCCTCCCTTCTTATCATCGTGATGAGTCTTAACTCAAACTATTTTATTTCTTGCTCATTCTGTCTCTTACTAACCCCTCTACTTCAGCTTTCTCCAGCTTGGAGTTGTATACTGGCTGCAAGTAGAGTTCTTTGGGACTTAGAATGTTGTGTGAACCCAGCCAATTTATTGTTAACTTAGTGGCAGGCTATAAATTCAGCCACAATGTGTTCCTTTTTTTTTTCGTACTTCATTGCAAAGCAAGATTTGTTCCAGTTGTTTTCTTTTCTGCTTATAGCTTTACCCTCATTCTGAGAGCCCCATAACATTTACTTTTCTGACTTTAGTGGTCTCTTTTTCACCTCTGATCCTCCTTCATGCCTTTCCAACCACTTACTTTAACTGTCACCTAAACAGTTTTTATATTACTGTTCCTTTCTTCTGCACAGCAACCACTTCCTGCATCCTTGAGATGTTAAATAGTAATACTAAGTGTGGTATCAGTTGTGGTAAGGTTGAGACTACGTTATCAGGAGTGTGGATTAATTTTGTCAACAGGTTTATACAG